ACAGCGAAAGGTAGCTTCTGATAAGAGAGATGTAAATATTTGTCTTTCCTATTTACCGACAATGACAATACTTTTACAACAAACCATTTTCACTAGACAACCTCTCGTTTCTGCTTTTTTGCTTCAGGGAGTCATAAACGTGCCTAGTTGGAGCCAAGACAGGCTAAGGCTTTTGGAACACACATGCAGTTTTCCAGCCTTCACCCTGCTGAACGTCAGCTTGTTGCACCTGCTTCTCCTTGCTTGGCCAGGGTCCTTCGCAAGCAGCTGTCAGTGAGCAGGAAACGTGGCACCCAAATGGCCCTGTATGTGCCCAGCAGTGGACACAGCTGGACTGGACACCTTCCTCAGGTATTCCAGATTGCTTCCCAGGGGACAGCAGTGATGCAAAGTAGGGCCCATGGCGTCTCGGCTTTTGTGTTTGTCCTTGTAAGTGCTGATGTCTGGCAAGGCACTATGTAGTAGTCATGCACGTCCATAAAGCATTCCACGTGCCTGGTGTCCACCTCATCCCTGAGGCAAGCAAAACAAAATTCTACGGCACTATGGTGATTCTTAGTTATAGCTACCATCTCTATTTACTTATTTCTTAGGTTTTTTTATTTTTTGAGACAGAGTCTCACGATGCAGGCTGGCCTTGAGCTCACTTCATAGCCCAGGCTAGTCTCAAAATGGCAACGATCCTCCTGCCTCAGCCTCCCAAGTGCCAGGATTACAGGCATGTGCCACTGCACCCAGCTACCATCTCTATTTAGATGTTCTCTTTGATGCCGTGTATGTCAGGAACAAGAAAATGTTCTTTGTGTTCAAATGAGCTACTTCATGGGAAAGACATTTCTAAACTTCAGCAAGGCTTCTTGGAATATTTTTTAAATAACTACTTGTACAGACATGGGTTCTGCCCATTGAGCCTAAGATTGAGACTAAGACAAAAAGAGCTAGAGTGGGGACTTTTTAATTTAAGGAAATTCTCTTGAATAAACTTCCCAACAATCATTGCAAATGAGTGACACTGGCGGCAGCAAAAGGACTTAAACATCGAAGATGTAGTACTACTGACTAGAAGGACTAATAGATTCGCTGGACACAGAAATTTGATTTTTAAAAACAGAGAGGTATTTTCTTAAAACTCCCACATAAGGCAATGGCCTCACGATTCCACACACAGGCCGTCCAGCTGGCACTCACCCAGATGGGCTCCTGAGCTGCACCATCTCCACGCAGAGCCCAGGGCCCCCAACACGCTTCACGAGCCCCCAAGGGGAGAGGCGTGGCGTCTACTTCCGGCTGGCCCAGGGCACTCTGGCCCAAGGTGGCTGAGCGTGTGAGATGCGAGCGAGGTTTTCCCACTCACTGAGAAATCATGTTGACATTAAACGTAAACATAAGCCAAATGAGCCTCCGTGGCTTAGAGGAGTACGGCAGGGTTAAAACAAAGGCAAATTAATCAAGTACTCTGAACAAATAACATAGGAGTGGTTGTGCAATTTGGACTCAGTTTTATGTCTAGCTGTAAAACAGACTTTGTGATAGAAGTAGAACTTGAAAGAAAGTGGATAGCAATATTGTCAATTAAAATAAATTAATTAAAATAAAATTAGAAATAGAGGCTAGCTGAGTAATAGAGCACTTGCCTAGCATGAGAGAGGCCTTGGGGTCAATTCCCAGCTCCACCAAAAGAAAAACAATTTATTTAAAGTGAATGGCTAGGGGCTGGGGATTTAGCTCAGTGGCAAAAGCGCCTGCCTGGCAAGCGCAAGGTCGTGAGTTCGGTTCCCGGTACCGGAGAAAAACCAAAAA